TCATCGAAAAGGAGATATTCATTCGGAATTGAATTGCAGACAGAGAGATAATCGACTCAAGCCGTAAGTAAAGTGCGTGAATCGTTGTGAATTCTAGCGTGTGTTTAAGTTAAACTGACTGTGGAAATTAAGTGTATTGCAAAGTTGTTTTAAGAAAGAATAAACTAGTTTTATTTAAGAAAAGACTTGTATCGCTGAAGCTTCTCGGAATGAATTTCTACGAAAAATTAACAAACGAACACAGACGTAACAATATGTATTAAATAATGTATATGGTTTATTCATAGCGTTATTAGTTGACATGGTGAAAATTAGAGGTGCGTATTTCCTCTAATTGGTGGATACGATACGTGTATAGATGCAGAAGTTTTACCAGCGGTTTGTTACAAAGTTTGACAGTGTTGTCTGTAATATATTATCTATATTACTAACATTGTCTTGTTTAAGTACTTCACACTTTACAGTGCTTTTTCAAATTCTCAGGTTTGGTCAACTAGATGACAGCTGGCAAGAGAAGTAATATAAAAAAAGTTAATATCTGTCTATCTATTATGTTATTGTTAAATTGTTATTGACCTTTGCATGTAATATTTTTGATAAAAGAAATGAAGACAACATGTAGTACTCAATACTCATCTTCCTTTATTGAATCATTAATTTTTAGCAAAAATACTTTATTAGAAATTCAGATTTTTTTCTGTACAAAAGACTTGTAATGTTTACTAAAAGCTTGCCAAATTTTGTGAAAATACATAAATTGTATCGTATCGTACAGTAGTATAGTATCACGGTATTGCCACATCTTTAGCGAAAATGATGAAACAAATGCTAAACATATATGAAGTAAACATAATGGCTTTCACGTAGGAAAATGTTTGTTAATATTTTCTGTAATTGCAATTCGTTAGTTAAAATTTTATTTGTTTACTTCCAGATGTTATAGTAGCATCTCTATTCTTTCGGTAATGTTACTTCCATTAACAAAACTGGTTAGAATGTTTAATATATCTATTTTTATGTTTTTAACTGCTTTGTTATGAAGGCTTGATATGTGGATTTAGGTCTGATCTAAATTTTGTAAGCTTGCGGAATCTAGTGAGATATTAAGATTAGGGTTGAAAATATCGCTAACAATTAGTGTACCCTACATAGTAATCATTATAAATAAGAATGTATAAAAAAAAATTATATTTAATTAGATATACTCTTTACTGTGTTGATTTTTAGTTGTGATTTCTTTAAGTAGCTTGTTTTAATCAGAAGTTAATATCGACTTTTGCCATTAATTTTTATAATATATTTTGCACTTGCATTAATTGATTATTTAGGCCAGGTGGTAAGGGCGCTCGACTCGCAATCTGAGGGTCGCGGGTTTGAATCCTCGTCACACCAAACATGCTCGCCCTTTCAGCGGTGGAGGCGTTATAATGTGACGGTCAAT